TAGGACTGTCACAGTCTGGTAGGTTTCAGTGAAAGAGATCCTTGAACTTTTGCTCCACCCTGTTTGTTGAAAAGGTGAAGTAGTTTTTTTTTTCTCCCAATTAGCTTGTGGTTGTGAGAAAGATTTTTAAGTCAAAGACTTTGTAATAAGTTACAAACATTCAACTACACGAGTTGGATTTAAGGGAAAGAAAAAACTAATTATATCTTTTTTTACTCTTCTTAGCCTCAGGATTTCAGAAGTGGTTGGGAAGAACATATTTGTTCAAAGCCTAGAGCAAATGTGATGTTAGCAAATGCTAGAAATGAAAAGAGTCAGAAAAAGTTGTGGTTTATGTTCATTTTGATTACAAACTAAGATGTTTTTATACACCATAAAATCAATAATGAAATCCATATCCATCAAGCTGTCAAGTATAAAAATGACTTTTTCATGGTTATGTCATTTTGCAATCCAAACTCAGTGGCTATTTTAACATTCAAAATGCTAGCCTGCCTCATGAAGTCTACAATTTGAAAATAAAAATATATTTTTGTTTTTAGTATAAGGAACTTTTAAAAAATTATTATGTTTTATTTACATGTTTATTTAATTTTTCTCCTATTTTCCTTCCAGTAATGGACTTCAGTAGGCAAAGAAAATAGAGAATTGTTCTAAATACATGCACTATTAAGTTTAAAATTAAATTTGTTTTTTGGAAATTTAAGTCTGTAAACTCCCAAAGATTCTTTAAGAACAGGAATGTTTAATTTAAATCATTGATTATCAAAAACCAGTTTGACGTCTAGGGAGGTGTTTCAGAGGATCCACGAACAAAATGAATTACTCGTTTAAAAATCATGAAAACTTTAATTGCTGATGAAGCCTTATCATTATTTTGTCCCTCTTGATCTCTCGGGGTTTTATGTGAGACTTTATTTTTAAAAGGATGCCACCATTAAAATTAGACTGAAGACCACCAAATAGCCTAGGTTCTTCCACATTATTTAGCTATAGCAACTGCACTTCTCTAACAAAGATACACGTAAACTACATCATTTCAAAATTTGGAAAGAACAAACATATAATTGTCATACATGTCAAAAGTGATTTTTATTGATCAGTTTATACTCAAATTAAAAGATAAATCTTTCCTATTTAACATAAATCTTTCTTTTGTGTTGTGCATTTGGTGTGACAGTGTAATATGAATCTTGCACATTATTTTCATCTTTACCATTCTAAAGAGCTCATGTTGAAAATATCAACTGGCATTTAAGACAGCATAATACATAGCAGTTTCAAAATATAAAATAGCATTTTCATACTTTTTATTTACTGTCATTAGTGAAAAAGTTGGGATTATCAATGTCCATTGCATTAAATAGCAAAATACTGAGAAATGATGAAATATTACATAAATGCCTATAATTTAGGAAGACAATATTTATGTACTTATTTAATTCTCCTTGGATTAAAAAATGATTTTAAGAACCTTATAGACATGCATACAATGTAAAATACTATAAATGTGATAACGAGGACGATGATGAAATAAAATTGATTGAACTCTAGGTGCCAAGCATGCTTTTAAGCACTACAGGTAACTATAATAGGTAGTTGAGTAGCATTTATGGAGATGGAGGAGTCATTGGTTATCAGAATATATTTTGATCATTGCCATGATCTTTTATATAATTTAGCAGTATATGTCAAAATGTTTAATGATCTTACTCTCTGATTTAGCAATTAAACATCCAAAATTCTTTCCTACAGAAATATTTACACATGTGCACAAAGATATATAAGCAAAGATGTTTAGCTCAGCATTTTTATAATAGCCAAAATATAGAAATGATGTAATTGTCTAACAATGAGGCATTAGTCTAATTATGCACATACTATGGATTAAAATTAGTGATGTAGACAAATGAAACCAATATTTAATGTGTAGGAGGCCTCCTTTATACAATTTAAGAGGAGAAAAAGCAAGCTTAAAGACAATATATTTAGTAAAGTTTATTTCCCTAAAATATGTTTTATGTATATATGCACAGATCAAAGTTAGAAAAGTTTTCCTTTAAAATGTTTATTTCTGTATGATAGACATTAACGATTTTCAGTTATTTATTTCTTTAAATATTAAAAATATTTCTTTATAATAAATATCTAATACAAGTACAACAAGAAAATAATATGTTTACTTATTACAAGTATGGTTAGGAAAATCAGAATAATATCAAAATGAGTATAAGAATAAAAGTGAGGTCAATTTAAAAAATTCATCCAGTAGAGTCTCTTAACACCAATCAAGTTTCTCCGTTCATTCATTCCCTTGTACATACATTTATGCAACTGTTATTAAGCATCTACTAATACTCAGGCATATCAGATAACTGATAACCAGGCATAACTTATTAAAACTATTATTTCCACAGCTATTTATAATACATTCACAGATATGTGAGGGATTGTGCTGGGTACAAAAATATATATATCCTACAGTACTTTGCAGTGAGGAGGGCTTGAAAATATGTGTCTAGTTAAACTACAGAACCACACAGATGGGGCAGCCAGCTAATCTAGAGTACAGAGTTCAGGGAAACCTGGCTGGAGATGCTACCTGGACTGCACTACGAAGGAAAGTTAAGAGTCAACTGAACAGACAATGGGGGAAAGGGAGTCCTAATTTATATATAAAATATATAAAACATGTAAAACATATCAATTATATAATATATAAATACATAAATTTATATTACATAAATATATCTTTACAGGAACATAGTTTATAGTTTTATAGAGAATACATTATATATTCATGAACATTTTCATTTTTTGATGTGTTCTTACAGTTAGGGGTTTAAGACATCTTGATATGAATGAAGAAAAGCTCATTCTTTATAGAGTGTACCATGCATTTAACTTATAAACCTTATATGTGACTAATGGTCCTGCAAGTGCTGATAGTAAAGTTAAATATTTTTCAGCTTCTGCTATGTCTATAACTATGCATGCATTTAACATAAGTTAAGATGCTTACATCTTATGCTTACATAGAAAAATGATATATTGATATCAACTTTTGAACAAAGAGCTAACTGCATGACTTTCAAAGCTTATAACATTAAATATTCTTAGAATTATAAGCATTATAAACTTATGTACTGCCAAAAGAGAATATTTAATAGGAACTCCAAAATCATATACATTTGTAAATAAAGATTAATGCAAATTTCACTACAGCCAAGATAATATGATCATTAATTACTTAAAAATATAAAGATTTTAGCATTCTGTAACATATATATGCTACATGTTTTAAAATAAAACCTGAAGATACATCTCCCAGATAAGCAATGTCTGAGAGGAGTAAAGAAGAAATATGTTGGTTTGGATAAGATTTATGAGGTAAATGAATTTAAAAAAATCAACAGATCCACACATAACAGAAATTTGAAAGTATGCATTCATTTGCAACATATATTTGTTAAACACCTACACTGTGCTAGTTTCCTTAACTACTTTTGACATTACTACAACAATGTTGATGGCAAAGGAAAGAAAGAAAAAATAAAGACAAGATTTATAGACTTAGGATATATCAACTGAAGGTGATTGTTAAACTTATTCACACATTATTTTGTATTTATATGCACAGAAAGTCACTCTCCCATTATGCTGTAAGTTTTAGGAAGGCAGATCTTTATACTTATTTTTGTTTCCCAAGGATTAAAGACAGTGCCTGGCTCATAACAAGCATTCAGAAACTGCCTCTTAAAAGAAGTAATTATCTTAGTTCAATCCATTTCTTAGGAAATAGAATTTTAATTCCAAAAAGTGAAATTACTTACCTTAAATACTTACCTAAAGTCATAACACTAAGTAACATCAGAGTTCAATTAGAAATCAGGGTTTCAAAGATGTATCTCTTTTCATTGGAAGAGGTGAGTGATTTGGGGATGTTTTTTGTTTTTGTCCATGTAAACCAAGTAAAAGCATGCCTCCTCAATTCAAAGTGAATTATCTCGTGCCTACCTAGAGATTAAATGGTATCCCAATTACTTGCATAATATCTACACAATGATTTCAAGTTTCTGGGTAGACATGTTATATTCAGAAAGGTAGACATGTTATATTCAGAAAGGTAGCCAAGTTAACAGTTGGCAGTTGGTTTACCAAAGTACTAGGTTCTAAGTGTTCTTCCCTCGTTCTTTAAATTAAATTATCTTTATTGTGTTTAAGATTTTTTAAAAACCCTCAAATAAGAATCAATTCATCACACTGGTGCACAGTATAACAAAGTACAGCCCTAATAGAAAGTGCAAATATTGGATCGTGCTACAGCGCCCAGCAGCCATCCTCAAGAATTCTAGTTTCAGCCACAAACCTTGCTATATACCCTTTCCAGTATTCCTTGGTATATGCGTTTTCTCAAGTTCAAATGCCTTCTAGCGTCCGCCTAAAACTTCGGGCAGCCATTTTCAGACTTCTCTAGGAAGTGCTTCCTAGGTGAATAAACAGTAACTTTAGCGGTCTATTGAATCCACACCTATGGATGCATTCTTTCAAAAAGAATTTTTAAAATAATATAATTTTTAAATCCTAACAATTTATTCATTTACTCTGGAAACTGATCTCCCATTAGCCGGGGAGTTTCTGTAACGCAGTTAGCATAATTCAATCTCTATGGACAATGTATTTAAATTGTTGATAGAATAAATCCAGAATCGACTAATAATGCTGCGCCCAGGAATACGGCGGGCACTCCAAAAGAACGTAGGCAAAGCCCGTCTCACACCGACCTTCCTTACTCCGGTTCACTCTATCCTAGAGTCCCAGCGCGATCCTGGGGCCGTGCGATGGGCGGGGCCCGTGAGGCTCCAGGGGCGTGGCCCGAAGCCTCGCTCCGCCCCCGGCACGGCGCTTGGGTCGTCAGCCCCACCCATTCGCCCCGGCGGCGCAGGTTAGCGGCTAAAGGGGCGGTGCGTCGGCATCTCCTCCTCAGTCCTTGTCTAAGACCGGAGGGATGTTCCCTGCTCTGGAGGAGGCCGACAGGACGGTGTTTGTGGGGAATTTAGAGGCCCGTGTGCGTGAAGAGATCCTTTACGAACTGTTCCTTCAGGTACCGTCGGTGGGGAAGGGGCGGCCTAGGGGCCGGAGGGCTTCGAGCCGAAAGCGCAGCCTGAGGGGCGGGGCACACCTGACCCTTTGGAGCCGGCTGCCTTCCGTCGTAATCTTGCGCTTTGGTTTTAACAGGTTCTGCCTGGCTACTGTGTCCAGGTGAACAGTTGGGTGGTGAAGTGACACAGTATGCGCCCTCTCCCCATCCCCAGTGCAAGAGCCCTGGTAGTGGGCAGTGATTGGGCTCTGCCCTGAGGAAGGGCTTCGCGGAGGGTGCCTGGGCCGCGGATGTGCTCAGTAAAAACAGAAAACAGCCTTGTCACTGTCTTCCCTTAGGCGATAAAATAAGTATCCTCATGCCTTACATCCCGCGAAATGAGCGGTATAGATTTTTTAATATTTCCCTACCCGTTACTTTTCCCTAAGCCCTTTTATGTGGCGGTTGTATGAGAAATGAGATTTGAGAGATTTACTCAGCAAAATCATGAGTGTGACCAATTAATAACCTGGCCAGTTCCTTTGATTTCTTATCAAGAAGACTTGGAAACTTTCCAAATCTGTCGCCTCCAGACGTAAGCCTCTTGTCTCCTATTGTGTACACACCTAGGTCTCACTAGCTAAAGAGATGTCCTCATTCGGCCATTCATCTAACCGGTTAATGGTCCAGAATTCCATTTTAACTACTAAGGTACCGGGCATGCAAATGTTAAGAGACGGGCTTGAGTCTTTCTAAAAGAGAAGACTTAAAATTAATTGCCGTGATCTAGGGCGATATACAAAAGAGAAGGATACACAACTAGCAAAGTTTTTTGGAGTGAGTTCTGATGTCAACCGTGTAACCTGGGGCAAGTAAGTGAACATAAGTACAACAGTTTCTTCACATGTTACACCGGGCCAATAGTATCTACAGTAGGAGGTGTTAAGGTTAAACTAATCCATGGAAAACAGAACTGAGTCTGGCCCTTACTGTTTGTTAGTGCTTCTACTACTACTAGTAGTACTGCTTGTATTACATCAAGAGAAATCAGGAGAGGGTGACTTGCCTCTGTCTGAAGAAGAGCAAGTTCCAAGCGAGACAATAGCAAAGCTAAAATTTCCAGGAGCAAGTATGAGTACCAGCCATGAAAAGGGCTCTTTATTAATTTTTGGAAAGGCCCTACCACGTCTCTGAACTAAAGGACTCCTCTGTTGTGTAGAGGTACCCACAGTGGGATAGAGACAGTCCCTTCCAGGAACACAGTTTCCTGTTCTGGACATAAAACTTTTTAATATTTGAAAAATAGTGTTTAAGTATAAGGCATCCATGCTTATCCTTCTAATAACTTGCCATCTCTTTAAGGTTGCTTTTTTAAATCTGCTCTAGTACTTGTGTTTTCATGTAGTTATTTTCCCCCAGTGTCAATTAAAACATGTCAGTCTAACTAAAAAACGGGAGAATGGAGGGAGAAAAGGGAGGGAAAGAAGGAAGGACTGAAATCATTCTTTTGTCTAGAAGACTTTTTTTTATGTTGAGCCTCCAAAAACAAAGGAAGGTGGGAGAAGGCATGAAGGCCCGCATACACATGCATTATTTTTAGTCAGTGGGGAAGGGATCTATAAGGCTATATAACATATGTAATTCATTTTTTTTTTATGATTTACACCTAAACAAAATGTGTCTTTTCTAATAATCAGGCAACCAAGCATATGTTTTTGTTTTGCTAGTTTCTTCTAAATTCTAGAACAGTGATTTTTAACTGGTGTGCTGCAAGAATTTTTAAAACATGCCATACCTGATTATTAGAGTCACCAACCTCTTTTCCCTTAGATCGTCAAATAAAAAAGTGACAACAGCCAGTACAACAATAGCTGTAGAGTGTAAATTAATCAAAATTACACCTATTTTTTTTTCAGATCGGGAAAATATATATATTTGTGGTACACTGCAGAATTTTAATAATTTATGTGTGCCATGAGATGAAAAAGGTTGAAAATCGCTGTTGTAGAAGAAGTTGCTAAAGTGAGGTATCTTTTAGAGAGGCTTCAACCCAGCGAAACCTGGTAAATCTTGACAACTACAACGCTGTGTGTTTCATTCTGATAAAAAGACTATAAAATGATGTGATTGTTGCCATAAGCAAGTCTCTGTTGAATTTTATATTTAAACATTCTTTGGCATATCTTTGAATTTGTAAAATTCAAAGCATTTAAGATACCCTCTCTCTTTGTGATTTCATATGTTTAATATTAGTGGTAGAAAAGTACTGATTAAAATTGGTTTATTACTACACATTTATCCTTTCACAAGTTAGTGAAGTCTGTCAAATTTCTGATTATCCTTTGAAGTGAGAAAATAAGGTTAAATATCTCTATTTTTAATTAAGGAGCGGTGGAGCAGAAGTGAAAGATAATGAATTGTTTCAAAAATTTTGAGTTCTGAGTACAATCACATGGAATTCTCTAGCAACCTGTCTCCTAGCAAGGAGGCATGAAAGAGGAAAATGAGGAGGAAAGATAGATTTGTTGATGAAATGGTCCTTGAAGCCAGGAGGGAGCATGAGCTAGTTCATGAGAAAGAAAAGAATGAAGAGAAGGCTGAGGCCTGGCCCGGTTAACTCGGTTGGTTAGAGCATCATCCCAATGTGCCTTGTCTCTGGTAGGGCACATGTAAGAACCAACCAGTGAAGGCATGCATAAGTGGAACAGCAAATTGGGGGTGGGGGGTGGGGGGTGTGTGTGTGTGTCTCTCTCTCTGTCTTCTCTCCCACCACCCCCACTGTCCCTCCATTCCTCTCCACCCCTCAGAAAAATCAATAAAAGAGTGAATCCTAAAATACATCATCATTTTAAAGATGAAAATTAACATTTTTCTTCAGATTAAAAGCAATTTCTTAATATATTCATCTCTACAGAGAAAAGCTATCTTTAATTAGTGTACAATTTAAAAGTTTGAGCCATTCACTATCAAATCTTGGCTGTTATAAGTCTTTGTGAGTGCTTCTTCTAATCATTATGTCAATTTTTTCTTAGTTATAATTAACAAAATTATACATATAATTTTACACATATAATTTTGTTTTATAATATTTAACTCTACTTTTTTACTCCATATTGCTAATTACAAGTTTTACTATTGACAGCATCTAAATATTTCAATATATGATTTTATTCCATTTTAATAATACACCGTGGAATAATATTCTCCAGTTGGAGTTAGAGCCTTTCTGATTTTTCACTAATTATAAATAATGTACCTACTTAAAACTCTTAAAACATATTAAAACATTTCTTGATGAAAAACAGCTTCTTCACAGAAAAATATTAGGCTGCAGTATAATTTTGCTAGTTTGGTTTTTTTTTGTCATAACCAACATTGGGTTTGTCATTTTATTTTTGAGTTATACACTGTTACTATGTAAAGACACCTTGTATTTTAATCTTAGATTTAAATGCTCTTTAAATTGTATTGCTAAGTCTAACTAAACAGTAGCAGCTTTCCTTTCAATATTTGGACCTATTATCTAGAATTTCCTATTACATAGAGTTTCCTGTTCTTAACACCATGAATGTTTCTTGATAAGCCAGAAAGTACCAAGAAAGTGTGATGAAGTATAATATGTATTGTTAGGAAAATACACTATTAACATAGCTACATAATGCTGTTATTGCTAACAGATTTTTTTAAAATCTAAAAATAAATATACTAGAATTATCTAACTGTAAAAAAATCTTTAGATTTATGAGAAAATAATTTTTAAGTTTTTTATAGGCTGGGCCATTAACCAAAGTGACTATATGCAAAGACAGAGAAGGCAAGCCGAAGTCTTTTGGATTTGTCTGCTTTAAACACCCAGAATCAGTGTCTTATGCCATAGCTTTGCTGAATGGAATTCGTTTATATGGAAGACCAATTCATGTGCAGTATCGATTTGGTAGGTCTATCCAATTGAGTTTTGTTGGTAGTGGTGGTGGTTCTCAGAAATGTAAACATTTTGTTTTCTATATAGCATAAGAGCAAAAGTGTCCCCATAGTCTCTATTAAGTTTTCTCAGAACACGTGTCTAATTTGTAATGGTATATAATGAATTACCATTGCCAGTTACATTGTCAACCCTATTGCATCTCTTCTGTATTAACAGTTTTAATGTTCTATTTTAGTATCAGCCAGCCAATATCTATGATAGTTGCTATTGGCTATTATAAGTTAAGCAAATTTAAATGAAGTGGCAACACACAACTCTAGCTTTTATGTAGCAAGACTGCTAATCTTTTTGTCATTGCTAATGTGTGGTATCAAATACTTACTATTTGGAGGATAGGGTGGATGACTTACTCCTTCTAGGGGAACTGTGCTTTATATATTGTCCTGGATTTAAGCCCCTGTAAGAGCAGCTGACCAAAGGCAGCTGCCTAGTGACCCTTCGTAATGATGGGGGAATGCTTCCTGACATGAATGGCCTCAAGTGCCATCTCCTCCACGCATGCCAAGAACTGATTGTTTTTGATTAGCTATCCAGAGGACACTGTACGAACACCCTAGCCCTTTCATGTTTAGAGGAACTGATAGAGGCAGTGCTTATATTTAGGTTGCAGTGCTCGCAATGCTTATGTTGCTTCCCTCCCAGATGATTCAGGCTTATTGGTATAGCCCTTGTTTGTTTTTTTATTCCTTTGCTAAACAAAAACACATAAGAATAACAAAACAACGCCTTGTGGCAAAGGAAATGTGCTTCTTGTTGCAATTCATTTTTTTTATTGTCTTCGTAAAGAAATTGGCTGCCTGGTGCTCTCAAATACTGTCCAGTTAATTTATGTTCTGACATGTACCTAGCCAGTTGCTTAGCATCCTCTGTAATGCTGACTTGTCAGTTCAGAGAGCTCCATGCCTTATACATGGGAGGTAAAAAACTCTGATTATTTGCCGTTTTTCATTTATAGGTATGTAGAACAAAGCAGCAGGTATTTTATGTGGTCCCATGTCAATATAATGTTTTTATAGAGCCATTGCTTTGAATAAAGCTTGATTATAAGTCAGTCACTTATAATAATATAAACAATGTGTAAATGTTCCTTGGAAGACCAGAGACATACTCATGTATCTTATATAAGTGTAGAATTTTAATTAATACTATATCCTGTTGAGTTTGGAGGTTTTGATAGTTTAATGTTAGAACTCAAATTATACTATAAGTAATCCATTATTCTATTTACTTTAAAGGGAGTTCCCGCTCTTCTGAACCAGCTAACCAAAGTTTTGAGAGCTGCATTAAGATAAATTCACATAGCTACAGGTAATTAAAATATTTTTAATGAAGGTAAGGAAAATAAACATGTTGTTTTACCAGGAAAATTTTTTACATATTCTGGATTATTGTAAATTTTACCATTTAGGCATATGATAAAATTAAGAAATTTATTTTTTTTCTGAAACCATTAAAAATGACTGAAAATGTTTTCATTTAAGTTCAGGCATATTACCTTCAGCAGTGCATGGGTTTTATATTTGTGGTGTTCTTTATAGTTTAGTATGTTATTTTTATAGCTGTTAAATTGTTTAAGCATCCAAGATCTCATTGTGATATATCATTTGGGCTTCTGTGATACTATTCACAACACTTATAAGTGGAATATCCACCTACTCATCTGACCGCTTCCCATTGTTTTCCTGCCCTCATCTTTTCCTCTGCGTACCCATGTTAATTTCTCTTTCCCACAGTACACCTTTTGTCCTAAGGATTAGTAGAATTAGCATAAAGACTGTGGAATACTGTAGAACAAGTAAACTAATGAAGACTAGCTATAGATCTACCCAGTATTTGTAACATTGGAATTTGTTGAACACCTTCATAGAAGAAAATATGAGGTATTACATTTTTAAATGAAATTTTAGAACACCAGTTTTTAAATCAGCGATTTTTATAATCTTACTGTGTAGAAGAAATCAGCAAATATTCTTGTAAACATCAGCAGTCCATTTACAAAAGAGCATAATTTATATAGACAGTGAATATATATTCAAAAAGAAATTGAGAATTTATACCTTTCTCTTTTCAATATCTGTAAAAGATTGAATGTACCTTTGGTAATTATTAATTACTTGCTCTGCTGTCTTAATATCTAAGTGCTCTTTATAAAATTAACATTGCTTAACATTTTCTTACCAAAAAACCAAATGTGATCTAAATTGAGATTTCAATATGTAGTAATAAGTAAAACTTATTACTTATAGTGTCGGTACATTATCAGTATAATAACTGATTATTTGTGGATGTATGTTTAAAATTAATCTAAGCTGAGTTGGAGAAACTCCCTTTTTCTATTACAAAGAGCTGCCTTTTTTTTTTTTTTTAAAGAATAAAGGACATTTGAGGGTAGGAATTTTAACTTTGTATTATTTTCTTTTATCTTTCCAAAGAAGTGAAGAAGTCATGGGTAGATCTTCCTTTCCCATGCAGTTCTCTCCAACTAATAATGCAGCTTTACCTCAAGAATATTTTTTCTTACAGAAGATGGTAAGTTTGACATGCCATTGGTTCAATATATAAAATAATGCAAACTGTGAAGAATATGAAAACTATTTGGAACTTACAGTGTTCAAATCAAAACCTTGGGACAAAGGCAGAAGCTTCTTGGAGCACTTTTCCCCAGTGGCAGTCTGCTCTAACACAGTCATCTTAAATCCAACACATAGTATCTCAGCACATAGCCAGCATGTCCGTAGACACAATGATGATGCACTGTGGTCCAAGTAAAATATGAGTAGAGAGTTGTCATTTAAATGACCATTTTAAAAGATATTTTTAGATTTGAGTAATTTTATTTAGTGAATCATTTTTACATAATGCAGACATGACAAATATATTGCTTTTGAACCTGGATTTTTTTTTTAAGTAAATTTTTTTTAACTAAAGGCAAAGATTCACAGTGTAACAAACTACATTATTTCCAAGGACTGTCAAAAATATGTTTCTGGACTAGAAATCTTAATTATGATTTTTATTATTAAAGGGGAACTTAGAAAATTGTTTTTTTCAGCTCCTTATTTTATTTTTATTTATTTATTTTTATCCTCCCCCAGAGACATGCTTATTAATTTTAGAGAGAGGGGAGTGAGGGAGAGAGAGTAGGAAAGAAACACTGATTAGTTGCCACACCCTGACCAGTGACCAGACCCATACCCTAGGCATGTGCCCTAACAGGGAATTGAACCCATGACCCTTTGGTTTATGGGATGATGCCCCAACCAAACAGCCACACCACCCAGAGCTCAACTTCTCATTTTATACATAATAAAATTGAGGTCCAAGAATTTTAATCAACAAGCTCAAGATCTCAAGATTGTACTTGCTAATGGCAGATATGGCATTATAACAGGTATTGTGATTCACAGGGTGGGGTTTTTTTACAAACATCTAGCGTACACGTGAGCTTCAAGTTTTTTTAAAGCCATTTTCACTTTTGTAAACATAAGGAAATTGATCATTTTACTTCTGGAGAAAACTTTTTCTTAGTTACACTGAGATACTAGTAAACCACCAGTTCTCATCCAGAACTGTCAATATCTTCCCAGCATTTTAAATTTTTGGTAGATATAAGAAAAACACACACACACTCTATTCACTCAGTCACTCTAATGTTATCTCTATTAATTTGTAATGTACTTTGAATAGTTAGAAATTTGAGTTAAAAATTAGAAAGAAAAAAGTGTCTATCATAACTATTAACAAGTGTTCTATACAATATGGTGGCCATTAGCCACATATGAAACTAAGAAACTGAGTTTTAATTTTAATGAATTTTAATTAAAATTTGAAACAGATAATTCAGTTATTGGAAAACTTTTACATATATTTAAAAGAACTTGGGTGTGTGTATTTACTTTTTAAAATGAAAATTTTATGTAATCTAAATTTAGATCAAGTATTTTCTATGAAAATTTACTATCAGAATTCAGATGTTCTGTAGGTATAAAATGTATACCAGAATTTGAAGACTTAGTATGCAAAAAGAAAGTAAAATATGTCATAATAATTTCTTTATTGGTTACATGTTGAAATGACAATATTTTGTATATTTTGAAATAAAGTACGTTATTTAATTGTACCTCTTATTTTTTTATTGTGCCTACCTAAAGATTTAAAACTACATATGTGACTTGGATTTTATTTCTATGAGACAACACTAAGCTGTATCATAGTAAACTATACATTACTTTGAATCTTTATGTTAACCATTTAAGGAAACTACCACATTCCTACTTTGCTAACCATTTAAGGAAACTACCACATTCCTACTTTGCAAAGTCATGGCCTTTCTTATATTACTACATGGTTTTGTTTGCATGTAGTTATTTGTATAATGCATTTAAACTGTAAATTTTTTTTAACTTTTTGGGCTTGTTTTGGTAGATGAATGTTTTTTTTTGTTTTTCACAGCAGTGGCATGCATATAATCCAGCACTGCAGCTTCCTTACTGTGAGATGACAGCACCACTCCCTAATAGCACATCCGTGCCTTCACTAAATCATGTTCCAAATCTAGAAGCTGGACCCAGCTCTTATGAATGGACTCACCAACAACCACGTGACTCTGATTTTTATCAGATAAATAAACGAAAGCGGCAAAAACAAACCAGTGATAGTGATAGTAGCATAGAAAACAATAGAGAAAGTGAATATAGGCAAAAATTCCAAAAGTGTAAGAAGAAGAAAAGATACTAGTATTACCTTCAAATGAATTTATCTACACTGGTCTTAATACTTTTAAAAGAAAAAAAAAATCTGTATTCTTCTAAATAACCAATTCAATGGTTTTCTTGTCTTTTTTTTTTGAAATATACAAAAATATGATACCTGATTTGCTATTAAAATTTTGTTTTGAGTGACAAAAACTTTAATATAATGTACTACTTTTTGTTTCTGTAATGGTATTGTTGATACATTATCAACAAGAAATATATTTTGAGTGATATATTTTGGTACTGATGATGAAATTGCACTAAACTGTCAATCAAAAGTCACTTACTGAACAGTTATAGATGAGGCACCATGCCCTCCTAAATTCTTGCTTATATGGAGTGGCAGATTTCCTGAAGGAAATAGTGCAGATATATAAGTTACATGTTATTCCTAACATAAAAGGAATAAGCAGGCTTTACTTTCCTTTGCTAATAATATTTTATTGTTTATTTCTCAGTATGTTATTTCTGAGCCTTCTGTTCCTATGGGTTTATTTCATAAAATGAGGATATATGACAGTGATACTAAAGGAAAGATGATGATTATGGAGCTAGTTTTGGCATCATTCTCTTTTTTATACAATTGAATATAAATGTGTCTGCCTCTTCACACTTACTAATTTTATTTCATGAAAATTAGTTGGCTGTGTCAGAATTTATGATCACTTTCTTTTACCAACTGCATCTGAGAGGGTATATTTGACATTAAGTAAATCTTGATAATGAACAATAAATAGAATATTTCATTAATGTATAATATTTAATATTTATTGTGAAATCAGGTTTCCTGTTTCTGGTTCATTTATTTTTAGAACATAAATAGATTACATGTAAAATTAATAGTTTTTTGGACAATTTTATTCACTGTTTAGTTCATCATAAACTTAAACAATGGAAGTATTTATTGAGTAAGGCCAGTTGAAAGAATTATTGAGAGGATCCTACCCAAGTCAGTAGGACAAGCCATGCTTGGATATTTCTTTTGCATCTTGCATAGCACTTTATAGATCTTTATTATTTAAAGTAATAAAGATGTTTTTAGAAAAACGAGTAACTGAATTTTCGGTTATAAATATACATTACAGAGTATTAGGCTTGTTTTAAATGTAAATATTAGTCTTCCCATCTGATCAACATAAAAACTAAATTCTTGTTAATGTAGCTTGATGTGTATAATTTCATGTTCCTAACTATTGAAACTAAAAAAGATGACATTTTATTTTTAATTCACACTTTTGCAGTTTAGAATTATGCCAAAGGAATGTAAATAGGAAACCTTAGCCCTGAATTATTTTTCAGTGTGACTGGCATTATTGGAAATATGCACATGAGAAATGTCTCTTAGCAAATAAAAGTGACATTCATAAAATTATCTTGAAATAATTGTAACAAACTAAAATCTTAGAACTGCAAGGAATTCTAGCATCTTCTTTCATCGCAGGCAGCACTTACCTCAATAGCAACTTCAGTAAGTCAGCTAAGCGAACCAGAGGGAAAATTCAACTGTTTACCTATTGTCTTTCATTAGTAAATATAAAAATTCTCTTAAAATGTTAATATCATCTACAATCCTGTGTAATTTTAAATTATCAGTTTTCCCAATCGTATGTTTTTGAGTTAAAATTTATTTAAATTATTTGCCTTGGAAGCTTTTGTCTTTACAGTCCTAATTTTCTACTCAAAATTTATTTTTACGTGTGTTCATATTCAACTTCAAATGTTAGGTTTCTAAGTGTGTACACATCCAACTTCAAATGATTTTGAGAACAAAATCAGTCTTTTATTCTCATATTCACATATTAGTATTTTTTATGAGTTTCTGTACTTCAGTGGAAGAACAGAGAAAAAGTACATAAAATTGATTCAAAAGATGAGTGCAAAACACCCTTGAAATCTGTAAGTGTGTATATTTTACCTCTGTTTTCCTTTTCCATACATCTTAGTAAAGCCAGTTACATCAGAATCAAGAGTCTGTCTCATTAATTTATTTCCCATTAAACAAAGTGAATTAAAAGTGAGGAATGGATTTTGGTGAATATAGCACTATTATATAAATCTCTATAGAAATCATATTTTACTGCAAAAAACTCAAACAAATCTTTTTAACAAAGAATGATACATTTACACTTCACACCCAGGGAAACTGAGTGAGCATAGCCCTTCCAATTTCACATAGCAATATTTGTTGAGGTTGTTTATGATATTATGTCTGATCAGAATGACTTATACAAGGTTACGTGATGCCTCAGCTGTGGGCTAAGTTTCTTTATTTCCACTCATAACCAACCTGTAAGAATTACTTCATGCACATGAAAAAACTTAGCTAGTCGGGACCAGTGATCTATTATCTGGTTCTTTATTATCTGATTCCTGGTAAAAATTTTTTGATCCTCACCTGAGGACATTTTTTTCAATGACTTGTTACGGAGAGAGGAAGGGAGAGAAACAATACAAGAGAAAAGCATCAATTGGTTTCTTTCCGCACACACCCAGACCAAGGATCAAACGTAAAACCTCAGCATGTGCCCTGGACCAGGAATCAAACCTGGAAACTTTCAGTTACAGGATGTTGTTCTAATTAACTGAGCCAGGGCCCAGTAAAATTTTCTTTTGAGCTTCTAAAACCATCTTACTATATCATCAACATGTTAGATAAAGATTAAGAAAAAATGCCCTTCATTTTTTTCTAAGTGGTCATTTGCTCCTTGCTTCTCACTGTGATCCTGTTCAGGTTCTCTTCATTTACTGCTTGGAGTATATATTAAGCATGTCAGTCAAAAATACTATTCTAAACAAAAATTTTGTTGCTGAGGCCCATCACTGAAAAAGCATACTTCCAACATTCAAGGAGCGTATGATCTAGTGTCATAGACAGACATTCAAAAGTTGATTTCAGGAAAATATAACAGAGGTAAACACAGAGCAGTGGGAGGAGGGAGCCAATCGCCTGAATGCATAGAAAAAAAGGATGGGATCTAGGACTCCCAAAGGCTTTCTCTGCTGACTCTCAACTGTTTGCACATTTCCATCCCTGCTGTCCACACCTCCTTGGAAATGTGGCTTCAAGTTTGAGCTTGTGGCTTGCCTCATGTTGATATTACCCCACCATTCTCTTAAATATATAGGGACTAGGGATACGGAAACAAATGAAAAAGATAAAACTCCCTGATCTCATGAAGCATTCTAGTAGAAAGATAAAATCAATAAGCTAAATAAAGAGCCCTGTCTGGTGTGGCTCAGTGGATTGAGGGCCAGGCTGTGAAGTAAAGGGTCACTGGTTCAATTCCCAGTCAGGGCACATGCTTGGGTTGCAGGGCAGGCCCCCAGTAGAGGGCACGTGAGAGGCAACCACACATTGACGTTTCTCTCCCTCTCTTTTCCCTCCCTTCCCCTCTCTAAAAATAAATAAAATCTTAAGAAAGAAAGAAAGAAAGAAAAAAGAAAAATATGTTAAGGAATTAAAAAGCCAAAGCAGGAGAGGAAGTAAGCAACATGGATGGCTATCCGAGGGAAGAGCTGGAGGAAACATGCTTAGAAAAAAGAGAAGGAAGCCAGGATGGTGGATGACAGGGAGACATGGGATCAGAAGATAGTAGGACCTTACCAGCCACTGTAAGCACTAACATTTAGTGGGGATGTTTTATAAATGGGGGTGGGAGTGAGGGTGCGACAAGAGCAGAAATATTGAGACTATTGAAGTTATCCAGGCAAAGAAATATGGTTGCTTATATCAAAGTTGTAGCAATAGAAGCAGTAAATGATCATATTCTGTATACACTGGGTTGGCCAAAAAGTTTTTGTTTGTTTGTTTTCTTAAGATGGCTCTAGTAGGCTTAGTTGTCTTCAACGTCATTCAAAACAATTTTGTTAGATTGTATTGTGACAGCTGTCATATCAGCGTGCATTTAAAAAAAAGTACCAAAATTGGTGTAGCCATTTTAATGTTGAAGATGGAAGAAAACATGCAACATTTTTGGCATATTATGGTTTATTATTTCAAGAAAGATAAAAACACAACCTGAAACACACACAAAAATATTTGTGCAGTATATGGAGAAGGTGCTGTGACTGAGTGAAAGTGTCAAAAGTGGTATGTGAGGTTTATGCTGGAGATTTCTCACTGAACTGTACTCCCCAAACGGGTAGACCAGTTGAAGTTGATAGCGATCAAATTGAAGCACTAATTGAGAACAATCAATAGTGTACCATGTGGGAGATAGCTGAAATACTCTAAATATCCAAATCAATAAAGTTATCAGTGAAAATGAGAAATGTATCTTTTAGTTTATGGAAAAAGCCATATGGACTTTTTGGCCAACCCAATATTTTGAAGATAGAGCTGACAATGCACTAAGTGTTCTGCTGATGGGAAGGAGAGAATGAAGAGTCAACAATGACTCCAAGGTATTTGGTCAGAGTAACTGGAAGGATGTAGTTATATCTATTGATATGGAGAAAGCTATGAAGGAACACATTTTGAGGAAAAATCAGGAGAAATTTGGACTTGTTAATTATTATGTGCATACCAGAAATCTAATCAGAGATAAGATGTTTGTACACATAAGACCAAGGTAGTGGTCTAGGCTGAAGCCTTAAACATTAGAATTATTGCCATGTCAATGGTATTTCAAACTTTAATACTACATAAGATCACCTAGGAAGTTCATGTACATAGAAAAAAGATGAAGTATTGTTATGGGAATTCAAGAGTTAAAAGATTTTAACTTCTGTTATAGTTGATAAGAGTGATGAAAGCATGTGTAAACCTGTTATTCCAAGAACTAGAATGCATGTCCTATGGTGACTCCAGGGAGTCAGACAGGCAATTCAACCTTTGTACTCCGGGAGGTCTACAAGCAATGCAGATGGTATCTGAGCCATTGTGTCAGATGAAGAATTGTTGATCAGCAGATAAATACTAGGAAAATTACTGCCTGACTGCAACTGCTATCTGATTAACCTTTTTCCAAACCCCTTACTTAT